AATATCCTCTGAAACAGAAAATAACATTTCCTTCATTCTACCAGATGGTGCACTTGGTAAAAAGTGTGTGAGGCGTAGGTTTTAAATTGACTTGGCGTGATGACGGAAAGCAAAAGCTTTTTTTTTTTCGGTCTTACACTATCACCACACAATGTTTTGTTGCATATACAGATACGCAGTAGCAGTGCTTAGAACTATTACAACAATTTACATACGTCCAGATGGCCGGGGTAAACATAAAGAGCAAAAAATCATCTCATTTCCTCAGTGACAAATTAGAACCATACAATAATTGAAAGCAGTACAGAGGTGGCAAAGCAGCATGTTAGGTATGGGGCTCTTAGCACAAAGGATTTATAAGTAGCAGCATGCAAATCAGATATCTATATGTTCTGTGATATGCAACGATGAATCCATTTTGTGTGCATGTATATCTAAACCAGGAGCATCACAGAATGCAGCAGACGCTTAGAAATGTTTGATCAAGTAAATAAAAATGTGCAAGAAAATTGTTGTATACAAAATGGCAAATTACTTGAGCTTTGCGAAAAAGCAAAAACATCAGCAAAACTGTTTGAGACAAACTTTAATCAGTTCTTTTAATAACTCGCAATACACACAACTTCCATAGCAATGTATAAAAGTTTATGCATTGGAACGTGATGATCACCGCCCCTTAAAAAAAGAGCAGCATCTCTGTTAGTTGTTAATACTTTCACTTTTATAATAACTGACCTCGTCTTTTTCATTTTTATTTTTCTTGAACTCGGTTCTTGCCCAGTCAGCTAATTCTTTTCTGCTGTCTTTATTCTCGACTTCTTTCAAACATCTTAAGATATCTCGGTACAACTGCAATGATTGTTGTCTTAACATGAACTACAAGAAACATCAAAATATTTAAATAAAATGCAATTTTTTGTAATTTTACGTTTTTTATCATATAATACTGAGCCAAAATTTCCTTTATCGTGAAAACAATACATAAACAAATAGTTACCAGATGAGAGGTCAATATTCAGTTTTAATGATCTGAAGAACAAATTATGGACTGAGGTCAATAATTCATCTGAAGTCATTAAAACTATTTATTAATCAATAATGAGGTACCTATGTTTGACTATAGCAATTAAATTAACACAACATAAACCAAGAGTCTGTTAAACAACGCATACGCAAAAACAAAAATTGAGGTCACTAGATTTTCATTATCGATTCCAAGTCAATACTGAGTTTATTGACCTTCATGTGACCACATTCTGACCAATCACACAAGGTATGATAAAAATTGATATGTTATGTCACATACTTATGATATGCCACGGATAGAAGATGATTTTTTTGGTCAACAACAATTCATCTTACTAGCTCTTTGATGCTGTTTACATATGCATAGTACCAGTATAAACATCATAATGTGTTACTGTGTGTTTTCATTTTGTACCATATACGTCATTTTGAAGTAGTAGAAAATAGAAGGTCACTGATGCCCCCCCCCCCCATTTCCTTCATTTTAATGATTTTACAGTGAGGTAGATGATCACAAAATATTTGCTGATGTTAAAAAATTAAATGAATTATGGTCGACTGCTACTCATGTATTATATATAATTCATAGTCAATTCGTCCGACACATTCGTCCCACAAGTCGATTCGTCCCAATTCACATTCGCCTCAATTCAAATTTGTCAAAATTCACATTCGTCCCATTTTTTGGTCAGTATTACAATCTTGGGCAGGGTGATTTTGATGACTTGTCGGTTTTCGTTGTGAGTTCGACAAACTGTATATAATTACTGCCACGCTTGCTATATACCGCTACCACAAAATATGACTACCCAGCACCACCATACTTGTACATCACTGTATTTACTGTAAAATGACTAATTTTCACTGATTCGCCATTTCAGGCATATTCTTTGGGTTTTAAATTCACGGTTTTGTCATTTAGATAATGTGTTTTATGCTAAATTTTACATATTCACTGGGTTTTAATTTAGCGCATTTTCCAATCAGCGAAATAAGCCAAATTAAAACCCAGTGAACAATTAACCTCTTTACAGTATATTTATTTACTAATAACTCGTATGTTGCGTTTACAGCATATTTGTATTTGTATGAATACTATGAATTATTGGAAACAGATGACATTGACTGCAAGTCATTGTGCGCATTACCCACTCTATTTTTCACTGTACTTGGAGATGAATATTGGCATAATACTTGCATTTCAATTACTGTTGAGCATTCCATCATTCGCTACATCTCAATAACATTTTATTGGCAAATGTGTGTTTAACTGATTTTGCTGAATTATTAGCTGTACATTTATGTGTCTGCTGTAAATCATGGCATTAACTATAAATGGTTGTTACTTGCATATGTTCACAGGTAATATTAATATTGAATATTTATGTTGCCGAAACTTCCATGGACATCCCCAACATGGAAGATAGTAGAGAAGGAGAAAGGATGAGTTTTAATTTTGTTTCAAGCTATTCCTCTATTTTCCTTTCAACCCATTATCGTGACCGCTTATTTACTCAACAAAACTCTTGATTTTTAGAGCTGAGTAGATGGACTGCTTCGTTCCTGTAGTAAAATTGGTCCGATTTGAAAACGAAGTACAAATGTATTTGAAAGGTCTAAATGGGGCTTTATACCAGACACTTTCAGGTAAGCTCAGTTGAATATAAATGAACTGTTGAAAAACATGTAATATTATTTATTTTTTACAGAACATTAATCAATTACATTATAATTTTGAAATATGAATACATATATATCCTTGATTTGAGGATCGACGGATCAACATACTGCAAAATGTGATACAATAAACAACCGGTATTGTGTGCATACCGGGGACATCGCTGACGAATCTTCTTTGGAACGAAACAACTTGGGGGACGAATCAACTTTGGGACATATTGACATGGGACGAATGTGATTTGGAACGAATCGACCGTTCACATAGTTTAGGGTATATAGGAGTACATCTATCTATAATCCATTGAAATTGATTTTAATAATAATAAATAATAATAATAATCTTTATTGAAACCGTATCCCGGTGTGGGATCTTAGTTGAAAATACAATAAAGTAATACAAAAAGATAGCAAAAAAACACACACATAGACAATCGAATAGAAGAAAAAAAAAATTAAATTATTTGGTGGTTGGTTGAGGCATCTGGCATTTTAAGATTTTTTCTTGTCGTAATTTGAAACAAGTGTGGATGAATTTTCCTAGTTCAATGATTGTTTTGTCATTTTTACTTTTTAGTATATTTGTATGTTTTTCGTCATCCGTCCCCAAGTTGCTTATATTGTATTTAATATTGTTGATCATGATTTCTCGTTCCTTCTTGTATAAATTACAATTGAGAAGAAAATGTTTTTTGTTTTCAAATTCCTGTTTGTCACAAACTGGGCAAATTCGGTTCTCTGCTAAAATGTTATTATATCTGCCCCTCTCGATTTGAAGGGTATGAGCACTTATTCTGAGTTTTGTCATAGCTGCTCTACGATTTGGATTTTTGATTGTGGTGAGATATTTTTCATATGCAAATTCTGTTATAATTTTCCTATAGGTTCGCAACTTGTTTTTGTGGTTTTTACCTTTATTGTCATCGTGTAATGTTTCTGTGCTATGTATTTCAAAGGATTGTTCTAGTTTGCGCGTTACTGTTTCAGTGATTTGTTTGTCATCAAGAGATTTATGGTTTTCCCAAATATTTCCCATATTTAAATTTTCTAAAATTTGTTTTATGTTTGTTACCCAGTTGTCTTTTCCTTTTTTATCAAGATGTTATTCCAAGATTGCAAGCTTCATGTACTAGCGAATTTGGGTTAGAATTATTTATTTTGATAAATAATGATATGAGTTGTTGTTACAGAAACCTGATTAATGAATCCAGGCCCTTGACACGCCCAAATTATCCAATTTAACTGAGGTCAAATATAGCTTTTCCTTACACGATCATGCACAAGATAAATCACAGTCAACCGGCTTGTGTGACCTGTGGGGTAGAGAAATATTCTACACATTCTGACTGAGGCTAACACTGAGGGCGGTCGGTCTCAACGTAAAGATCTGAACAGCTGTTGAAAATAATGAAGAATTTTCGGAATTAATTAGAAGTAAAGTCAGATTTCTTACGTTTAGTGGCCGCTTAATTTTGAACAATTATGTTGAAAATGGTAAATGATTTTTTTTAAATGATTAAAAACAAACCTGCTTAAGTGACAGAGCAGCCGTAGGAACTCTGGAGGCTGCCATTGTTGTTAATCAGATAGACCCTTTAGCGTAGTGATTTTGAAGAATATTGCCTTCACAAAAAATGACAAACCTTGTTTTTTTTACATCTATTCAAACGTATTAAATGAAAAAACAGTTTTGAAATGTGCTGGTAATTTACCACATTACTATAATTAAGTTATAATTTATTATATATTTCGTCAACAACTTAGGCACTCTTTTTTCGCTAAGCTGGGTGCATTTAACAAAATGGCCGATCAAGAGGCTTTGGATGGTCGGCCAACGTTTTTAGACCTCCCTGTTGAAATTTCTGAGTATATACTCAGTTTCTGTGACATCGAGACACTTTCAACTATTTGCAAGTCCAGTAAGAGACTGAGGGACTTGGCTGATTCAGAAATTGTGTGGTAAGTTGTTTTTTTCTGAGTTCGTGTTCGGTGGAGTTGATTCGAAATGAAAAATCAATTTTATTTTTATTGTACACATCCAATGATTAAGAACATTGTCACAGCTTTCATGTAGTTTGGACACTGGGTAAAATAGTATATAATTTAACACCGGGCAGACGTACCATGGTCGTAAGAGCAACAACTTTAGCAAAATAGTTAACAATAACAATAACACTTGAAAAATGGGTTAACCCGAATTCAGTTTTTACTGACTGAGTAAGGCAAACATCTTTTAAAAACCTCAAAAATATAGTGAATGAATTCATTCAGATAGTTGATAATGACATTGGCATTGCTAATTTTTGTCCATCTTGAAAACCTAAAAAAAAAATCATCCTGGAAGACCCTTACATTGCATTCAGATCCAAAGAGTTGTAGAAACCTTTTGGTGTAATTACCCATTACTTATCATATCTTTCCATCTGTCTGTGATGGCTGATTGACATAGAATACCCCGATATAGATACCTTCACATATTTTAAAAATATTTAAAATTAGTCATCTGCAGAAATATATTTTGAATAGCATAGTATTGCTGGCACAGAACACTAAATCAAATCCAGGCTTTTATTTGATACAGAAGTGCTGCCAGATGTTGGTAGTAAGTTACTACAATTAGTCAGATACTGGTAGTTTATATCAAGATTTGTCTGTTCCAAATTATATGTCTACATTTTAAGCAGGATAAGAATGTTCTCACCTACATGTATGATCAGTTCCATGCTTTGCGATGACCTTTGAAAAATATAATACATATATGTATTTGATAAGTTAGCATAAATCAAAATCTAAACAATTGTAGTAACTGACATTTACAGTGTAGTAACATCTGGTAATTCTGCATCAAATAAAAGCCTAGGATCTGCTGTTAATTGAAGAGTGTATTCTTTTACTACTGTAGCAACAGCAGTCAAATTATTGCAAGATAATGATGCAAAAAGTGTCATACATGTATTAACCTTTGACCTGCTAATAGATCAAATGGTGAAACATTTGTGTTTGGTTTATTCAAAAAATGTTCATGTAGATGTAACTTCCTGAAAATGATTGTACAATAACTGTCCATGTCAGGTGTAAACTACTTTATTCACTACTTTTCTGAAGGGATGAATAAATGAAGTGAAGTGAAAATAAAATCCAGTGCAAATACTATTTTTCCTATGTTTTGCATTCTAATCATCAAACAATCGATGAAAAATAAACTTCTTACAAAACAGCCAAAATGTCTTTTCAGTGAAAATTAATTCTAGCTAAAATAAAATATTTCACAATAATATTCTAGATCTACTTCTGTTTGGGGAATTGCACTCAGAATTGACTCTTACATACTCGCACATGATTGATTCATTTCATTATCATTCTGACCTCAATAACATTAAAAAAAATCAATTGCAAGCCTGAAGGCTACCGGTAATAGGATACAGAACATTGTCTCTAAGTGTTTGTGTACATGCTGGTTTCTTCCCTCGCACATGCTTAATTAAAATAACACAAGATTGTTGCATAGTGCATTGGCTTGAACCGTTTTTTGCCCTAATCTTCATTAATAACAAATTAAAATTGGCTGACCATAACATTTAGAAAGGTTGAATACAAGACTTTAAATTTAAATTGGTTTTTATTTGCTCACAGGAAAGTGAAATGGCAGCAAGTCAAGTCAGAATTCGGCCTGAATTTTGATGTAAATGTCCAGTCACATAGATATAAAGACTTATGTCGACGTGCAATACTATGCTTGGCTCCACCTAAGCATGAAAACAACACTTTTTATTGTGACTGCAACAGTAAACAAGTGGATGACATCATCGCCTATGATATTGGTGCTGGAACCTCCTGGATCTGTTGGGTTGGTCGATTTGACAAAAGAGGCTGTCCCACAAAGGTAGCTCATCTACGTAAACGCGGAACCGAGATTAATGAACTAAATGTTTACCTGACGAGTATTGGTCACCCAAGAGTTTCTCATAGCTATGTGGTTGGTAAAGATGCCAAGATTCTGTCAGCGATGTATCCCCACTTGTATAAATCAGACTTCTTTCCTGTATACTGTGAGGAAAGCTTTAGAAGAGATTGCAAGTCGCATAGTTTGCCCGATGTGTTGAAGTCTAGAGCATCAACTGGTAATGCCAACCCCGACCCTGACTCAGACGGAGATAGTATAAGAAGAAAAAGCATGAATGGTTTTCTAGACTCAGAAACCAACACTACCTCAGACTACGATTATTCTGCATGTACGTGCAACGGTGCTTCATCAATGGATTCATCAGGAAAGCAAACCACCTTGCCTACCAATAGTGCTCTATCTCATGAAGCTGAGTCAAATACTTTTGAACTTCATCACCCAATTATAAATGGCAATATAAATCGAGTTGCTAATATTGAGTTGATCATACGTCATCTGTTTCGTCAGCTGACCTTTGGCACCCACCATTATTACCATTTACATAACACGCCTATTGTCGTATTGGAACCACCCAATCTATCTGAAGAGGCTAGAAGTGAGCTGCTACAAATGATGTTTGAGAAACTGAAAATTCCAAGGTAAATATTATTATGATGTTATTGTGTAAAATGTGCTTGAAATGCGATCTGTTTTTGCCACATGTCAGTATGTGTACAAACTTTTCTTATAATGAATAACTTTTATTCATGTATTTTAGCTAAAATTGTAGGAATGCAGTAACACACAGCTAACAGATTCAGTGAAATTAGTTCAGGTTGTTAATGGTGGCATTAAATACAACTCCACCAGTATGATGCACAGGGATTTTTCGTGATGCAGCTAGTTACATGTACTATATGTATGTTTCTACATGTACATGTACACTGTATACTCGTTCTCTGACTCTAACTCAATAGAAAACAATATCTTACTGCAGTTTGGAATTTGCATTAGGTTTTGTTGAAATCTGTGCATATTAATTACCTAATTTGCATATAAATTAAATTTTAAGCTTTTCACTTTTTCTCATGAACTATTCAACAGATTTCAATGAAACCTGAAACATAGATGCTCTGGGATAATGCGCAGATCTAGTTGAAATGAATATTAATGTCCTAATTTGCATATTAATTAGCCCATATTTAACTCTTCCACCAATATCTCAACCTCTTATCAGATTCACTGAAACTTGTGCTACCGTGATAATTTTAAATTTGTAATTTGGAATATAATTCCATAGCATACTGTAGTATTTTGACTGCATTCATGTTTCTTTACAGACTGTGCCTTCAGAACAAAGCTTTATCATTGTCAACTTGTCTTGGATTGGATATGTACCTTGTAATTGACAGCGGTTCACATTGCACGGCGGTCACTCCGATTATTGACTGTAAAGTGCAGAGACATGCTGTTCAGTTTAAACCTATTGGCGGCTATGACGTATCATATTTGCTTGCTGATTTCATCACTGATAGTGGACGTATTGACAAGGTGAGCGTCATACTGTTTGCATTCTACCGGATTCGGCTGATACCCCGCCCTCGGCGATCTTATGGAGGATTCGATTTTTTTTTAGAAAAATGTGGACCAAAAGATCGCCCGGGCGATTTTTTGGCAGATATTACGAGGCCCATCTTGTCTAAAAAAATAACCCTGCGTTGATAGAAATGGTCTAGAAAAAATAATGTTTCGCGTTGACCAAATATAATCATGCAAAGTATAAATTCAAAGTACATTGGTGAGAGGTCGAATTTTACGTGAACAAGAACATGCACTAAGAAGGAAAAGCAAGTCAACGTCGAAACGGGGTGCATCATGGACATGACACAACACACGCTGCGACAACTGAGTGATTAGCGACATAATTTTGGGACGCAATTGAACTTGAAGTACTTCTTTGCGAAACTTGCTGCGCGGTGATGCTGGCATCAAATGTGTGTTGACCGAAGTTTGACCCCAAGTCGCGCGCTGAACTGGCGCGTTACCTTAGCAACCTTTTTCTTTTGCGGTCCGCGCGTCGATCTAGTAAAAAAAAATATTGCAGTTTGTGATGTGAAAAAAAAATATGCTAATAATCATGGAAAGTAGTAGGTGAGACGAGAGGATGCCATTGTCCTCTCCTGCTCCATGATCAATTCAATTTATTTACTTAGTAAATTAGCATTCAGGTCAGCTTGGAAGTAGTCAGAGCTTTACGGAGATGAATTTACACCAAAATCACACAACACGACCAAATCAGAAATCCTAGTAAAAGGGACGTGTAGAGAAGATGCCAACCTACATGTACAGCATCAATGTTCAGAGGCCAGACAATGTTGCGAAGTCATTTAAGCAGTGTTTGCCACAGCCCCATGATACAGCAGTTGTTTTGTTTTGCCACAAACTAAGATCCATAGGTTACAAATCAGAAGACCAAATGTTATTGTTTTCTTTGATACAAAAACATGACAAAAAATCAGACCTGTGCATGGTTAAACAGCGTCATTCATTTATAATCATATTCGCTGCTCTGTGATGGTGTAATGTAGGGCGGTAAAGCAGTATGCGATACACTACTGATAAAATAAACAGAAACACGCATTGTGTTGATAGCATAGACACTGAGGTGTCAATGATGTTTAATGCCAACGGAATATTGTGAAAATAAAATGTCATCTTATCAAAGTCTAGGTCAAAGTGTCCACATTTGTGAATATAATAATAACGGCAAAGAACGTGCTAGTAATATAAGCAACGTCTGAGGTTTATTACCCCAGACCATTCGTCCCGGTGTTATCGCTATCGCCACACGAGACTCCAGCTTGTCTCCTATACAATTTGACTGCGCACATCCAGAAAGTAGATGTAGCTGTGATTGGTGGAATACTAATGAGTTGAGTGTCAATCAAACGCCCACGCTATCTTTAGTAAACAAAGTCACGTGACACGCGCCATTTTAGTTTTGATTAGTTCATCGGATCGGATCGGAGTGTCGGTGCTCGCCATCCATAAATCAAATCAAAATGATTTCTAAGGAAATTGTCGCGTCAGCAGTGGACATTGTCTTAAAACACATCGATGGCATCAACTCTATCAAAGAAGAACAATTGTCCGCAATTGAAGCTATATGTAACAGGAAAGATACTGTCGCTTTTTTGCCGAC